GGTATACAATTGAAGTACAATGCAAGAGAACAACAGACAAAATCCAAACGAACTAGATGCTATTTTCAGCCACAAAGCTGACCACCGTGCATTGTTGTCGCAGTACACCCGAGGCGATACCAACTTGCGCTTTAACAAAATGCACAAAAATAATGTCATGAAGTCGATTTACATGATCAGATAGTTTCATGAACGTTCTTGGAAATTCATGAATATTGCTTATAGCTAAACAAGGAAATATGTGAACGAAAAATTAGGGTCACACACCAAATCTGATTACATTGTTGATACATGTGGTCTGTTCATGAAAACAAGGGAAGACAATATAATTTCTAGGGTTCAATTTGTTAGTTAATAATAACTTGTGCAACCACTGTGAAAATTCTTGTCTCATCATTGGATTTTCATTCACACTTTTTATAATCCACTAACTGCTACTATGACAACCTATATATCTTCTGAAAGCTTAGATATAGGCAAATACAGTAGTGAATATTCCATACATGTACCAATGTTTATCTAAGGAATTTTAAGTCATGCAAATGACCTATGAATTGCACAAGACGTTTGTATCGCTGTAAGCTTGACGAATGTGTGTTATTACTGAAATGTACCATGTCAGAGTTAATCAATGAAAATATACCATGTCAAACTGGATCAATGAAGTATGCTGTGTCAGAGTGAGTGAGTCAATGAAATTAATACACCAGAGAATGGGTCAATGAAACACATCGTCAAATGTGAATGAAATGTTTCCTGTCAGGGTGAATCGATGAAACATGCCATTTCAAAGTGAATCAATGGAATGTTTCATATCAGAATGAATTAATGGAAATGTACTATCTCAGAATGAACAAAACCACCTCAGGGTGACCAAGACATACATTTACCATGTTAGAGTGAATCAATGCAAATGTACCATCTCAGAGTGAACAAGGCGTACTACCGGTATGTCACAGTGCCACTTTACGACACAAATTATAAAAACATGAGGCCATACAAATATGGAATTCTAATTATAATATACATGTACATGTATATTTCAGTTCTATTAACCCAGCAGGACCTTGGCCACACAGCTGTGCCCTTAAGGCACAGTATTTAACTGTATGTCAGCTTTGAACATATGTAATACAATTGTATCTTTGTACGAGTTGTGTACCTGGCACTGCAAAATTAACTTGACACAGTTACAACTATCGTCAATAGACATGTTTATTTAACCTTGGCAGTACCCACAATTTACGGAGGTCATGGTCATTTTCTTGGATTTCCTATCATAAATTGAAATCCTAGATATTGCAAATCAAATTAAATAAAAGATATTGCAAATTAATTTAAATCAAGATACTACAAATCAATTTAATCTGATATTGCAAATCAATTTGAATTTGTGTCTTTTAGGAAATTTAGTTATTGTAAAATTTAAACATGTTATAATTAGCATTACCCCAAAAAATCACTTGATTCATTCCTTCCAAGTGATTATTTTGTCCACAAAGAAATGTGGACAAGCATCCAATAGGAATCAAATTTTCAGTTTCTTGATCAAAAGTTTAAATCACTATTTCAGGTAGAACAAACCTCTTAATAGTAACACGAATGTTGCCAATGGTACCATAGAAAAAAGTTAGAACAAGAAACAACAAAATTCATCTGAATTCAATTTTTAAACATAAAAGATGATTATTGATCACTTCTCTATTCATAATGTTTTTCAGCAGGGCATTACATGTACCTCTGGGTGAATAAAAGACAACTCTGTTAATTGCAGTTACATACAGAGAATAATGATTAATAATGTTTATATTCATTATGTCAAAAATTAACAAAGAAATTACGGAAAAAAAATACATGAAAATGTACCTAATTGTCCCAAACAGAAAGGGGGAGCGGTTATGGCAAGAAGAAATAAGAGTTTTATGTACTGGACCTAAGCATCTAGATTACGTGTCTCACAATAGACGTGTCTCGTGTGTTTGGCAAAACAATACAGTACGATATACAGAGGTTTTGTTAGCAAACTTTCAGAATGACAATAAACATATCCAGTTGTGAAACTTGAGGAAATGTAAACCTGTTGTTTGTTTATTTCTCTCTGGAAAACAGCAGCGAGTTTACAGAGCAGGTGAATACTAAGCGGAGTCAATTTTTCTAAAATGGGGGAAAGTGGTTTGGATTTATTTGGGTATGTGATTGCATATAACAATCAAGGGGAAAATAATCAGATCATTGAAACAAAGTTAATGTCAAAATGTAAATGTTCCAAAACTCATTAGGATTTTGCTGAAGAAATATTGTCTAACAATGGTAAAAAATTACCGAGACTAACATTCCATCTTATTGTCAACATAAAATAGATTTAAGAACACTTAATTGTTAGTGCATTTTATGTCTCCATTCAGGTTCTCGTAACTGACAAAAATAGAATGTAGTAGTTGATATTTTTGTTCAGTGTGGAAGTGACAATAAGTTAATTGCTGTTAACCACCTGTTATCCTTCACTGGCTTGCTACAAAATGGCGGCTATAAATTTGTATACAATAAAAAACAATAGCATCACAATGATAATAACAGTTATGCTCAAAAGCCATCAAGTCATGTACAGGGGTAGTATTGTTTTACAGTCTGTCTACTGTCTGCGACAGTACATGCTTCTGGCTGACAAACAGAAAAGTAATAGGCTGTGCATAAACAAGGATACTGTAACTAAGTACCCAAGTACATGCAGATATCTCAAGTGTTTTTGAACTCAAGGTCAACTTATGTTAGGTTATTCACATGCTTGCATTAACCATGGGGTATACTCAACGTTAGTTTGGGTGTACAGACGCCATGTATGTATACTGTATTTTATTGTAAAATTTCTGATTACTGTAGAATACTTTATTTCCGCTTGGAATTTATTTTCGCTATTTTCGCTGAAGGGATGCTTCAGTCAAATAAAATCCAGCGAATATTCTTTTTTTCCTGTATCTCACATTCAACTCATCAAAAATCAGTGAAAATAAATTCTATACAGAACACCCAAAAAGCTTTTTCAGCGAAAATTTATTCCAGCTAAAATAAAGTATTTTACAGTAACCAATCTACATTGTCGATGGCCATGCAGTCACATTGTACAGCAGTTTGAGCTTCCACCTTCGCGAGTCACCAACGACAACTTAATTTCAGATTTAGTTACATTGATAATGACATAGTCCCCATTCAGTTTTTAGTGACTAAGTAAAATCCTTTATTTTCGCTTGAAAATAATTTTTGCTGAAGAAATAATTCAGTGAAAATAAAATCCAGCGAATATACCTTTTTTCCTATATTTTACATTCAACTTTTTAAAAATCAGTGAAAATAAATTCCATACAAAACACCCACAAAGTCTTTTCAGCGAAAATTAATTCCAGCTAAAATAAATTATTTTACAGTATGTCAACTATAAACAATGAAAGGATTAGAGAGTATTCCAGAATGTTTAAAAATATGGTGTTACTTCAAATGCAACCTTGTCCAGGTTTTGTTAAGTCATGGTTTTTTTTTTCAGTTCCATGGTTCAGTCAAAGTTACACCTCTTAGGAATAACATCATTCTAATATCACACACAATTGTGTAATCCACACATAAACCAGTTGGAAATTTTGAATCAAATAACAAAACATCATATACACATGTACATGAATATGTACCAGGGTTTAACATGTGCATACCCTGAAATTCATCATCTTTTGTAGAATATTTTGACCAGTCATGGTTATTTTAAAAATAAAATTCTAGATGCTTTTAAACAAGCGATGATATCAATTTTTTTCATTACCACTTTAGTTTCTCCTTGAAATTGTTTTTATTCTTGCTCTTTTTGTTTTGTATACATGTAGTTATTAGTTTTATCATTTTGTTATCAATTACGTTTAAATATCCATTTTACAATCATAAAACTACATCTCATGTACATGTATTTTATTTATAACTTTTTATTTAGTTTTGTTGTTATTTTTGTTTGAAGTATTTCTCTATTACTTTTGTGTCTAAGATTTAGTTAATAATGTTTTTTCATCATGGTGTAATAACGATTATTATTATACATCTGTCACCGTAACGCCATAAGTGTACAGTATGCCGTAGTTTTGCGATATTTTACAGGGTATTCCAAATATGGAATGATTACGCGCGCAAGCGTCCACTAATAATAAAAACAAACATGGCTGCCACCAAGGTTTAACGGGACTCCACACAAAGAAGTTCGCTGATTCTGTTCTAAACTTTTTGGGTTTCGGCATTCCCATGGTGTATCCTTGGAAGAAAAAGATGTATATAATAATAAGGTTAGTATGAGAATACCTCAAAGTTTGCACTCAGACAGTACGTCGTCGCATCGACCTCCGCTGCGCGATGGTCGATGCTCCAGCTATTTTGTCTTTGTGCATACTTTGAGGTATCCTCGTAATAACCTCATATTATTGTAATGTGGTGTTCACTCAATACACAACAGTATCAGCAAGTAAGTAAACACAGTTCTATATCTGACAAACGTACCAAAAAAATAACATGGACCGTGGTACACACGATATAAGTTAAACGTATTTTTGTTTGTAACATATGGTGAAAACAAATAAATAAAGTAGACATTTCGGATTTGACCAGATTGTAAAACACATCAGCCGTAACATCAGCTCATGCCACGACAGTAATAAACTCGCTCATGCAGTAACGAGCGTTTATTTTGGGCGGTAATATGTTTTAATAAATTACTGTTCAAGTAAACACAATGGAGGTAATGGAAGGTCACTTACACCATAGCATCTAGAGGCCCATGCTTTAATACGTACGAGAAATTATTGGTTTAATTCACGGCGAATACGACTTTTCGCGATCTCGATCTGTGATATCTCGCTGAGTAAACGACGACGCGACCTCGCGTTCACAACAAGTTGTGATAGAATACATGGGGTCGCTGATCAAAACACTCAACATTGTACGTAGATCGAACACAGCGACACGTAACTTACCGGGGGTTCTTGGAAGACAGAAGGTGGATAAGTCCCCAAAGAAAGTCTTCTGAGCCTGAGTGACACATAAACGATGTGATAGTTCTTGTTTTTTCCTTGTGCAGATCGTCAACAAAATACTCGAGAGCCACATGAGACTCTTCCGAGTCCTGCATAAGCAGAGGGAAGTATTCATGTTCGCGCCAGTGTAGCGACATCTTGAAAAGTTACACATCTGCCATGGATTTGTGTTGAATAAAAATGACGATTACAAGTCCGATGTGATCAAAACTGTAATGTTGTCTCTCATTTCGTGAATATTTACAGCTCAGTACTACTGTTACTCGACGTTGTCATGTTTGTAGTTTCATTTCTTATGCAAATAGCAATGGAACCCCTAGCTTATTGGATATTCGCATCCAGAGGCGTACAAATTAGGAGACACATCAGCAATGTCAATTATACATTTGAAGGCAGTAAAAGGTATTTTATTTTGCTTAGAGAATAAAGTGAATGATAACAATTATAACAATATAATTTACTTATAAAGAATGCAATCAAAAAGTAGCCATATTAAGCTTTTATACTCTGGGGGGTTCTCACTGTGCCTTTTGACCTTTATCGGTGGGAGGTCATTACCGAGCTGTTGTCAACCTATTTTTTCACTAATCTGTTGTGTATTGGAAATGTAGGGACTCGGTGACCTGGTTACGGCTCGATATCGTTTATGGTCACTGTCACAGTGTTTGAATAGACAAAATATTTTATCTTATCGCCAAAAAATACAACAAAAAAACTAAATTCAGATTAAGGCTAGTTTGACTATTTGTTATGTACTGTTGTGCTTTTATAGTTTTACACTGGCAGTAAAACACTGCTCGATAAAAAAAATTATCGTCGTACACGTGTGAATGGTATATTGGATAATTGAAACAACAAACATTTTTTTTTATATTTGATCACGGTGACAGTTCACTGTGTGTTTTGTTTTTTTTTGTTATCACGTTGTTACTCCTTTCTGTACAGTGACAATTTTCCGAGTCGCTGAAAAGACTTTTCCAGAAGTATTTTGTACGAAATTCATTTTCATTGATTAGTTAAATGTAAAATATTGGGCATAAGTTATATTTGCTGTATTTTATTTTCACCAAATCATCACTTCAGCGGGAAGAGCGAAAATAAATTCCAAGCGGAAAAGCCACAATGGTCCTGATTTTGATCCCCACATTTTGTAACCCGATTTTCAAAAATTTAGTCAGTAGTTGTATTTGATGTGACGATACAAATTTTGATCGTTATCGTTCGAAAAATACATCAACGCATTATCATATTTTTGTTAAAATACTGTATTCCAGTACTTTAACATATTAGATATAATTTACGTATATGTTTTGCTCTTAAGGGGCGGCAGTCATCACGCTACGCATGCGTGGCTCGACGACTGCCGCCCTTTGAACCACCTCTATAAATAGACATGTTGTTGGCATGCGAAGTACGAACATGATAGAAACACCGCTGTATTACGTAGCGTCTACAAAGTTAACTTTTGACCAATTAGGGGCATTCCCGCCGAGGTTTCAGTACTCTACAGAGACTATAAATAAGACGCGCCATGCAGTCCTTACCGCGTTGTTGTGTTTTACGATTGCATCTGTTTATGTAACTTTCTGGTAAGGTCTCTGGTATATCAGTGGATATACTAGTACTGCATTGATGTAATACACTATTCTACGTGTTTATTACTTCCATATACGTTTTTATTGATTGTTTCGTTTGTTTATCATGGCATTTCATGATTATTTCGGATATAGCCCAGTTACGAACCCTAACCCCCCCAAAAAAAAAAAAAAAAAAAAAAAAAAAACGCCGGAGAACCCACTTAGTTAAAGTAGCCATGGCGTACGGTAGTATATGCTCCGTGTATATCACTCGTAAGAGACTCTCGACACCGGGGTTGGGGTTGCTATTATCTAATCACATCGTTTTCGGACGTCATGCTGACTCGAAAAAAATAATTGGTGATGGCATATTTCCCCAGGGGGGTACTCCAAGTCAGAACTTGTACCCATGCTTAAGTATAGCTTTTCAAAAAAGCCTCTAAACCCGTACTTATTTTTGTTAAAATATACCCTTTTTCAAGTGCAGAAACTTAAAATAGATACCGTATATACATACTACTAAAAGCATGCTATTTCCAAGTTGAGGTAACATGAATTCATGAGATTTCTTTTTTCACACTCTATTTAATGTATTTTAAAATATTAATCCCTAAAAACGGTACACGCGTATACGCGTCAAATAGCTAAATAACACCCTTTTACGCGTTTTTTTTTTTACTTCAGCTTGCGTACCATATTTTATTCAAAGAAACCCCTCCCCTGGGTATATTTCGCGGGCCACAAAGAACGTTAACGTTACATAAGTTTGTTATTGGTGTTTTTATTTATAATACAAATAACGATTGTACATCTATTTCGGATTTTCTCGCTGCATTCATTCATTTTATTGTTGCTATGGGTTTCGTAATTCAGTTTTGAAAGACAAATTTAGTATTACACAAAACCCAAAATAGTATGGGATATCTTTCGTACATTTATTTATTTATTTGGCGTTTTTGTTATGAATTTGAGCTTATTATAAAATGCGGCAATTTTTAATTATTAAAATATAATATAATATAAATCAATTATATAAATATCACCAGTTAACATGTCGGTTTAATTTTGTTTCGTGAATAATCCGATTCGTGCTATTATATATGTATATAATATCTTTATGTACACTTTATGATTTTGCTTTTATTTCTTAATATGAATGCTAATTATGATTCGAGATATTTTTTTTTCTTCGAGTGTATGTTTTTTTTCTTCTGATTGTTTTTGTCACGGAATGACAACCATGTTTGATTGGATTTTTAATCTATGTCCATTTCCGTTTAGGATACAAACATTCAAACATGCAGAGAAATGATGAGTTCACTTCAAACCAAAGATCAACGTATTATATTTTTTATTTATATTTGTTGGAATTATATACAAACAATAATATGTAAAAAACGCATTGAATGTTAATAAAGAAGCGCGAGCACCAAAAAGCATAGTAAATAATTGCGACTAGACGACTGTAACTTTATTTGCAAACTACGAACGTTGGTGGCGGTTTCATGATTTGTAAAAAAAATGAGCGTCTTCGGGGAGTCGTCACCTGTGCATGCCTCAGATGACCATAGCGTGTCTTTGTTTACAAACAAGCGTCTACCCATGAGCCTTAAAGTTTTTTGAGTGTGTTGTTATCGTCGCCTGAAACTCAATTCCCGCGCGTGCGCAGGTGACAACCTTCCCGCTTTAAACTTGTTTGTAAATGAATAAATAAATTAATACAGGATATTTGTACACATCAAAATCACCTGCTCCGGAGAAGAAATGCTGAAAAACTGTAATGACAATGTTTATCACGGCTTGTAGACTTAATTTTATCGCTGGATAAATATCAACCAGTTGGAGCAAAAGGATAAGTTTTCCACCAAACGAACGTCGCCAATTACAGAGGTATTGCCTTGCTGCCCCTCCCTCAGCAAGATTGTTACTTACATTTCGAATGGTCTACTTGTGAACTAGGCAGAGGATAACATTATCGTTGAAGTTCAATCTCAGGTTCGTAGGGATACAGCAGGCTACGTGATTGTATTACAAAGCCTTGACCAGAAATAACTAAAAAGAAAGGGTGGTCGTTTTTATTGATTTCTCAATTTTTTTAATCTGGCCTCGTTCTATTATGTGTGCTTTGCATGTTTGAGTTTTAAAAAAAAACACTTCAATAAATGTATAATGAAATTAACTTAAGTCATGTGGATTTTGTGCGGGGGGCTTACATATTATTTCGAGTCTAAAATATATACGAGACAACGCACTTGCTTCATATAAGAACAAGTTTGAAATGAAGGGCATTGAAATAACTAGGGCTTTCAACAACATGGGTATTCTTATGACGCTGAATATGTAGGTACAGTCGACGTATCAATCAGTTATAACGAAAAAATTAACCAATTGGAAGTATTTTACATTGGAGTATTGGGTTTCCGCTTTAATTTCCGACTAATAATTGCGATCAAGAAAGTGCGTGGTCTCTCTCGAAACTTTTATGGTGTATAATTACACAGACCTAATATAGAAAAGTACATTTTATATTTTTATATTTGTAATGAGTGTTAATTCTCGTGAAAATATTGAGGTTTTTTTGGGGTAAACGTGGTAGATTTTATATATGAAACGTCAGTGGCGGCGGCACAGAGAGAGGGGCAGAGGGGGCAGTCTCCCCCTCGAAATAAGTGTTGGGGCGCCCCTCCAAAATCAAGCTGAAACCTTTTGCTTAGCAATGCTGAGTACGCTAGGTTCAACAGGAAGGATTATTTGGGAAAAATAAAGGAGCTACTTTTCAAGTACGGGTGATTGGAGCAACATGTGCCCGTGAAAGATACCCATGTTATTAATTTGTTTTCAAACAAGATTACCGGACTGTTTAATACAGGAAAAGTCTACAGCAAGCCAACAATCCAGCACAATGCGTAATTATGTTTATTTCAAGTCCATCTTGCAATAAGAATTGTACTTGTATTTGTAGCTGATTGTCGCGAATATTTAGAATATTCTGGGGAACGCAATTTTTCCATGGAATAATGACATGGATTCCTATGTAAATTGTTTTAAGAAATGCTTATTAAAGTGTTACCGGGTAAAACACGTAACAGGCTATAACAAAAATTAAATAAAGTAGTACTTTTGAAACCAAATATTGTTAAAAATAAAATATGCAACATTTTTGATAGGTCGAAATACACGCCTTTCCTTGTCATGTTCGAACGTTGGGGGCGGTTATGAAGCATGCGCATTAAAAACACGTATATGCTATTTATCAAGGAGTCCGAACTGTTCGTGTTTGGACCCCGTGGTCTGGATCGAATTTAACGAATTTACAATGACAGAAAGAAAGCGTATTCTAGTTATTGGTGCAGGAGTGTCGGGATTGACTGCCATCAAAAGTTGTTTGGAAGAAGATCTGCAACCAGTCTGCTTTGAACGAGACGATCAGCTCGGTATGTCTGCCATAGGTCCCTGGACAGCTTCTGACACTTGTTATTAGCCCCCACCCGGACAAAGTCCGGGAGGGGCTTGTAGTTTCGCTTTCGTCAGTCCGTCAACCCGCCCGGAGTAATTTCTCGGAGATGGCTGACCGAATGATTTTTTTGAAACTTGGTACAAAGACATAGTGGTCAACCATACATGTGCACGTCAATTTATTTTCCGATTCGATTAAATATGGCTGACTGGCGACCATTTTTAATGCCAAAATTCAGTCAAATTCGGTCCTTGTGTGTCCATCATCATTTCTCGGAGATGGCTTGACCGATTTTGTTGAGACTTGTTACTAAGACAAAGGGACCACCCATACAGATGCACGTTTAATTGTTTTACTTTTTTGAAATGATCAAATATGGCCGACTGGCAGCCATTTTAATTGTTAATCATGGCTTTTGTCTGTCCATTGATATTTCTCAAAGATGCCTTGACTGATTTTAATGATGCTAGGTACTCAGTGAAGATGTATACATATTGACATAGATTTATTTCCTGATTTGATCAAATATGGCTGCCTGGCGGCCATTTTGAATGTCAAAATCTTGTAAAATTCAGTTTTTCTTGGTGTGTCCATCTTCATTTCTCAGAGATGCCTGGACCAATTTTGCTGAGACTTGGTACAAAGACAGAGTGACCACTGGTAGAGATGAACATCATTTTTTGTGTGTGAATAGATTAAATATGGCCATCTGGTGGCCATTTTGAATCTAATGCTTTGGGTTGTCCGTTGTAATTTTTTAAAGAGGACTTGGTCAAATTTGTTGAAGCTTAGTACAGTGATAAAGAGACCCACCGTGCAGATGCATGTCAGTTTATTTACGGATTCAATTAAACATGGTTGACTGGCAGCCATTTTGAATGTCACATTTCCTTCAAATTCAGTCCTGGTGTGTCCATTGTCATTTCTCTGAGAAGGCTGGACTGATTTTGCTGAGACACAGTTACCACTTTTACCGATGCACATTGATTTATTTTTTCAAGGAATCAATTAATGAGCTCATTTGCATATTTAATTATTAATTGTTAATATCTTGTGCACTAATAGTCCAAATCAGACCAAACTTGGTAGAGACTTGATTTGTCAATATAAGATATATGCTATGCAATATTGAGTTTCAATTTAATTAACGAGCTCACTTGTATATTTAATGAATTTTTATTTTTTCTTAATATCTTGTGAACTAATTGTCTGAATGAGACAAAACTTGGTATAGACTTACTAGATCTGTCAATATAAGATGTGTGCTATGCAATATTGACTTTCAACATAATTAATGAGCTAATATGAATATTTAATTAATTTTGATTTTTTGACTCCTGTGTGCGAAGCACAAAAAGGGAGTCTTTGCAGTTAGTGTATGTGTCTGTTCCACTGATATCTCAAGAACCATACATTGATTTTTGCTGAAACTTGGTGCATAGATGCTCTGGGCCAATGCGCAGATTTGATTAGGTTTTGGTAAAAATCCATGCATATTAATTACCTAATTTGCATGATAATTTGCTGATTTTTAGCTGTTCCATGACTGTTCCACTGATATCTAAAGAACCACTCATTGGATTTTGATGAAACTTGGCACATAGATGCTCCAAACTAATGCACAGATTTGATTAGTTTTGGGTAAACATCTGTGCAATATTAATTACCTAATTTGCATAATTAATTAATTTTCAGCTTTTGATATTTCAAGTAGTAATCATCACATTTCAATGAAATTTGGTACATAGATGTCATAGGACACTGCACAGACTTGATAGTTTTTAGGGTAATATGAGTACATGTTTATTTTACCGCATCCCTTGTATGATAATCAATCTGTCTTTTATGGCGCCATACAGTGAAGACAAATTTTAAATAACCCTAAACTGAAGTAATCTCCAACTTCACCATAACACCGGATAATGACTATATTCAACCACGGTCCCTGGAGGGACTGTGATTCAACTTTGCGATAGTTTTGATGTGGAGCTATAAGCCCAAAAAAGTTTCAAGTCAGTGGTGCAGGCTGAACTTTTCTGCACTTATTTTACCACATCACCCTCTATCAACATATTTAGTAAACCTGCAAAAGCGACAAATAATCTAGGGGAAAAAACAAATTGACCAGAAACCCCTTTTTTTTATTGCGAGGCCGCAGCGACAAATAATCTGGGGGAAAAAAATTGACCAGAAACCCTTTTTTTCATTGTGAGCCCTAACATGTTTAATTTGAAAATAATTTTTTTTCATTGAAATTTTTGTTTCAAATTAGTCAAAATTTTTCAAGATATTTTGGTCCATCAGTGAAATAAACATGATGTAAAAGTATTTATGTCTGGCCAGTATGCTGTGCATGCGTGAATCTAATGCATATGAGTTCATATAATTGGATTGGGATCTTAGTTTTATAACAACAATACTTTCCAGTATTATGTGAATTGTTGTCATTTTTAACTTTTTTTTTGGTGAATTTGTACTCCCGGAAAATGCCAGGATGTGTGACCTTATAGAGGTCGTGCATATGACCCTATTAATTAGGTATTATTAATGGATTAATTATAATGCATATATTTTTGTGATTACCTTTATAGTTTGATACACTGCAGTTAGACATGGTCGCTAGTAAAAATGAAATCTCTAAATCTTTTTGCTAATCTGATAGTAGTTTTATAAACAAAATTTTTTCTATTGTTAAGACCTAGTTTTTTTAAACTGACAATTAGGCAAAGTCCATAAATTTATAATTCAAAAACTAGTTAACGTTTCCCCAACTTTTTTATTTGAACTTTTAAATAGCTAGTCACCGAGAATAGTTTTAATTTGGTACATAAATATACCCAGAATGCATTATGTATATCTGCATATTATCGTAGCAGAGCAAGTATAGGTCATGTGACCTGACATATTATTCAATTACAAAAAAAAAACAGTATCCAAAATAAATGCAGCAAATGACCCTTTAAGTTTCTCCCCAGGAGGAGTTTGGTACTACACCGAAGACCTGAGACCTGGTCAGTCCTCTGCAGCCTATAAAAGTATTATCTCCAATAACACAAAGGAAACATTATGTTTCTCTGATTTTCCACTCCGAAAAGAAGACCCAGCTTATCTGCCCTATGATGCAGTTACTCAATATCTCGTCAATTATGCAAATCACTTTGGATTAGGCAAGTATATCCATTACAACAGAAATGTTGTCAAAGTTGAAATGTGTAAAGACTATGAAACTACTGGACAATGGGATGTCTCGTACGTGGAAGGTGGCAATGGTGGTGGTGACGTCACAGTGGAAACATTTGACGGTATAATGATGTGTAGCGGCGGTGGTTTAGGAAAGCCATACATTCCTGCTATTCCAGGGCTGGATAAATTTAAAGGAATTACAATTCATGGAAATGCCTACAGACAACCTGCTCCCTTTATTGGGAAAAAGGTCATAGTGGTTGGTGAGTAAATCATTTTTTAAGATATTTAATTATGAAAACAATTTTTTTTTACTTACTCCCTCCCTGTGTATGAAGCTCATAATAGAAGTCTTTGTGGTTACCCTGTCTGTGTGTGTGCATACAGATGTATGTTTGATTTTCAGGTCAACTGTTGACTTTATCGAGCTGAGCTTATCATATGAGTTATTGTCAAACAGTGCCTGAACTTGTTAACTTATTACTTTTTCAACTTGTTCTTGAAAACTAAAAGTCTGATTTATGTACCTTTGGTAGACTTCTCGTAGATGTGCTCATCACGCGATAATATCAGCAATTCTCTAATTTAGGTAAATATGTTTGTCATTTTTGGTGAAAATTGATATTTTCAACTTCTTATCATACATATAGGTATAGATGACTGTTTAACACAGTGTGTACATGCCAATAGATGACTGTTTAACACAGTATGAACATGCCAATAGATGACTGTTTAACACAGTATGTACATGCTAATAGATGACTGTTTAACACAGTATGTGCATGCCAATAGATTACTGTTTAACACAGTATGTACATGTCAATATATAGATGACTGTTAAACACAGTATGTACATGTCAATAGATGACTGTTTAACACAGTATGTGTATGCCAATATATGACTGTTTAACACAGTATGTGAATGCCAATAGATGACTGTTTAACACAGTATGTACAAGTCATGCTAATAGATGACTGTTTAACACAGTATGTACATGCCAATAGATGACTGTTTAATACAGTATGTACATGTCATATAC